CAGTGGAACATGAGGAAGAACTTCTTGACTTTGAGGGGGACCAAGCCCTGGCACAGGCTGCGCAGGGGGGGTGTGGAGTCTCCTTCTCTGGAGATATTCAAAGCCCGCCTGGACGATGTCCTGTGCACCCTGCTCTGGGTGAGCCTGCTTGAGCAGGGGGGTTGGACTGGGTGATCTCTGGAGGGCCCTTCCAACCCCTGCCATTCTGGGATTATGGGATATAACAATAAGCTGGAAGGAAGGGTCAAAGCATTTTGATTTGCGTTGTTCATGAGAAGTTTGTATTTGTGGCTCTTTGACCCATGGGAATGGTGTACGTGAGAGATTGATCCCTTTGGGCTCTTCACCTGGTCTCCAATCTGTCTGTATATCCAGCACATCATACTGCCAAGGCTTGAGAAATTCACTCTGATACATTTCCCACGTGAATGCCAGTGACTTAATGCATCACTTCTCATTTAGAATATGTAGTTCATAATTGTCAGCGGAACTACCCAAAACTGAGGTATGAACTTAATCGCTGCTCCTTCAAAAGCTTTGCCTGAACTTGAAAGGCTTTTGTTAGCAGTTCTATCATCTCAGCTGTATTGCAGAGCTTTTGTCTTACTAAGATAAGATGCGGCTTCTATTCATGGCTTCTTTCACTGTGTAGATTCCCTTTCTTCTGTGAGCAGCACTGCCTTTACTCTTCTATTTTGATACCAGTGCTGCCTTGTAGAAGGAGGAAGACAAAGCCATTACGCCTTGGACAGTGCAATAGAAAACTGATGGGTAGATCTCAGTCTGGAGCAAGCCAACGGAGAGATTTTGGGGATTTGCTTTGCCATCGTAGCTGGCAAAGCAAGCATCTCTTGCTGCGGCTTTAGGAGGGGTTTGGAGTTCAGAAGCTAGACCCATTTGCACCCCCTTATGTTATGTTGGACTAGATGACCTCTAAAGGTCCCTTCCAACCCAAAACATTCTATTATTCTATGTTCAGAGTCTCCCCATAGTACATGCTCTGAAGGGGATGAACTGGAGAATTAATTAGTTCATTTACCTTTGGCTGCTGACCTGACATCTCAGTTTTGCTAATCCCAGTTTTGTAACAGCAGAATTCCACTTCCAAAATTATCTTCTGTCTAGTCCTCAGCCTTACGAACCAGACCATAGCAGGCTGTGTTATGGCTCCACACACATGGAGGGTGTTGGCAATGTCCTCCTCTGCCTTGAAACACACGTGGAAGAGCGCTGTTTCCCCGATATCGTTACCCTACAGTGGTGGGAGAGCATAAGCGTTGCTAGGAGGGCTATGGGTCATCTGGGTGGACTTACACCCCCGTGCATTGAGCGCCAAAACCACCCTGAAAGGGTGCACCTCCAAGGTTGTGATGGAGGGCACGGGATCTGTAGGGGATGGCATTCTCATCCCTCCCTCCTTGGGTTTTTTTTTTGCTGTTTAAAGCATCCTTTCTCACGTATTGGGGCTGGAGCTTCCCTTAGTCTGGCTTGGTGTCCTCACATTCAGCATCGTGATAGGAGTTCAATCCCTGTCAAGAGAAGGGGAGGAAGAGGTGTCAGTGGGCAAGCTACAGCTGGAGCTGCTGCTATGATTCATTTGCTGGTAGCTAATATGGAGCAGATAATTGAGGTGTACTTAGGCTGCCTTCTCTTAACTTCCCTGCGTGTTCTCCCGCCGGAGCCCTTCTCCCTCTCAAAGGATGAAGCAGTTTATCCTACCACCTGCTTTTCTGCTGATTTGGCCTCCCAGGTCTTTCAGTGCTTTGAAGCCACTTCCCAGTGTCTGAGGGTTCCTGATGTGACTGCAAAACCTGCTTTCTAACCATGTTTTCCAGCCCGGGCGTAACAGTTTTTATTAAAAGATCCAAAGAAATAGATTCAAACAGCCCTGTGCTGCAAGGGTTAATGCTGGAGCTTAGCTTACACATCTGCTTGCATAAAACCTCTGAGGGTATTTAACCTCGCATTTAAATGCCCGGCCTGTGTTAAGCAGCATTGTCTGTTACTGTAACAGGTTGAAGCTTTCCATAAATATTTTTTTTTTTGGCTTCCTGATGAATGTTAAAGCAATCTGCTCGGTGCAGGACCTGGGCTGGGAGTACCCGATCCCAAATTCAGAGGCCAGAACTACACCGACAATATATCCGTATGTTCAGGATGACATGGGATGTTTTTTAAAGGTGTCACAAGGATATTGCTAGAGCTGCCCAAACACCTGCCTGCTCTGAGTATGTCACTCCCCATCCCGGGCTTTCTCAATAGCTGATCTGTTGTAAGCATCAATAGCTGTTACAGGAAGTGGAAAATGAATGTGTAACAGAGCTGGGCAAAGCTGATGCTGTAAACAAGCGCTGATAACTTCCAGTATAGATTGCTATTGCATTTTGGAGCTACGTGGTCACTCAATGAAAGCGCGACTCGTGAGGTAGCAGTGCTGGCCAGGATGAGCAAAGAAGGTCAACGCTTCCCTGTATGAAACCAGGGGGAGCTTTGTGCAGTGGAGGCTGCCCTCCTCAAAGGATACGGTAGAACCGGAGGAGGTCAGAAAGGTAGCAGAGATGTCAGCATGATGGGGCGGGTACAAGGACTGCCTGAGCATCCTTCCCCTGCAATATCTCTTCCAGCAGAATTTGCCATCAATCCACGAGCACATGGAGAAGGTGAAGGGAGAGCGATTGCTCAAATTAGCTAGTGGAGGAACCAGAGGAGATTGAAGGATACAATAACTGGCAGCTTCAGAACACACAGAGAGATGCTCCTTGGCGTGTGTAGCTGCATATCTCTGCCATAGATCGCTATGGAGTCCAAGGGCTTGGTTCAAACAGCAGACGGGTTCCTGGAGGAAAAAACTCGCCCCCAGCTGTAGCACACATGGGTACCAACCCTGGCTCAGAGCCACAGAGCTGGAACATAGAATCATAGAATGTTTTGGGTTGGAAGGGACCTTTAGAGGTCATCTAGTCCAACCCCCCTGCAGGGAGCAGGGACACCGCTAACTAGATCAGGGTGCTCAGAGCCCCGTCCAACCTGGCCTTGAATGTTTCCAGGGATGGGGCCTCCACTACCTCTCTGGGCAACCTGTGCCAGTGTTTCACCACCCTCATTGTAAGGAATTTCTTCCTTATATCCAGTCTAAACCTACCCTGGTTTAGTTTAAAACCGTTACCCCTTGTCTTGTCACAGCTGGCCCTACTAAAAAGATTTTCCCCATCTTTTCTATGGGCCCCCTTTAGGTATTGAAAGGCCGTAATCAGGTCTCCCTGCAGCCTTCTCTTCTCCAGGCTGAACATCCCCAACTCCCTCAGCCTGTCCTCCTAGGAGAGGTGCTCCAGCCCTCGGATCATTTTTGTGGCCCTCCTCTGGACCCGCTCCAACACTTCCATGTTCTTCTTGTGCTGAGGGCTCCAGAGCTAGACGCAGTACTCTAGGTGAGGTCTCACCAGGGCAGAGTAGAGGGGCAGAATCACCTCCCTCGACCTG